ATATAATTGTTTTTTTGTTATTGGATATCTATATACTTTGCATTCTTTTACCATAAATTTCATTCTTCCCGCGGACATTGATTTGAAGGACAGAATTTCTGGTTTGAAATCTTGTCACTCTTGATTTATCGCGCATATAAATCCAAATGCCACCAGCACTGTTACTGCCGGTGTTTATATTTAATTATATACTTCAGAGACAGATATATAATTTGACAGGGGATTTTATTTAAAGCAAACTCGATCCCCGAACCATTAACTGACCTATGGTAATTTCGAGTGCACAATAAAGGCAGCCAGTACGATGTCCTTCGGCATCTAGCTAAAGCAAGTTCGACAGGATGTCGATCAGAATGATTTTGAATTATTCTTTGCACTTTTTTCATTCTATAATTCAGTTGCTGTTCTTTACAGGTGACAAATATCGCAGTTAATAATATGGACTTTAGTTTACTATTTTCAAAACCAATTTCATATTCTGTACAATATTGTTCGTCGCTTCTTTATACGATTATACAAGTATACGCTATTGGCATTTTGAAATGTTGCTATAACGATCGAGAAAAAATACCGAACTTATGAAATACTTAGATGTCTGCCGCTTTTCATTTGCGATAGCTGTTTCGAATAACTTAAGACGCAAAGATGAATAAATGCAAAACGCAAGAATATCATGATAGAATAGTATTTCCTCATTCCATGAACTAAGAGTAACCGGCCACGAGGCATCTATACTAAATAACTCTAAATTACATCATAAGCATAAATGTCACGAATTCGCTAACGCCAACCTTTGTTACGTCCTCAGTGCGAGTCGTCATATACTTTCAGAAACACCACCCTTTATATACAAACCGTGACATTTTCCCCAGTGATTTCATCAATGTTCTCATACCGTGCTCGGCTACGCTTTCTCAGTTTCAAGAGAAAGAACAATTTCCTCTTTAAGAAAAAATTAAACGCGGCCATTAAAAATCTGAAATAGGCATTCACAAAACTTAATAACTATAATTGCACGAAATTTAATAGTACAGTTTATTCGATAAATCGTGACGGCGCAGATAAACTAAATAGCATGTTGAACACATCATAGTTGTAGAAAATAGCTATTCACTGTACCCTACTAATTCAACCCTGTTTTCTTCATACTACGGTTTAGAAATGCTTAATCCTTTGCATTAGAAGAACAAAGACTATTGTTTCTCCAACAAATAGTCAAATATTTTTCAGTTCATCCCCTCAAAAGAATTCTTATAAAACAATTTCCGCAAAATGATCAAATTGACTACTTCATAGTTACCTGCATTCATTGAAAATACCACGTACCACACAACTAAACACATTATACACTAATTCAAGGTATACAACTCAAATATCCCCAAACGGTTTCTTTCTACTCACTCAAACACAACAACAAAATTCACCCTGCACCTAATCATAAATCCCAAACGAAACCAATTACCATGTTCCCTCTTATACCTTCCTATACTCATAAACACCAGAGACATTTACACGACTCCATTTACACGGTCCACTCGGTACATGTTTCCCGGTAACAAAAATTCCACCCCTGAACATAGTGTGAACCGTGACATTTGAAAGGTTTCATCAAGAAGTTGCCTCATCATATTTAGCAGGCGTTCGTGTTATGATTTCGCATCGTGTCACGACCGAGGAGTCGATCGTCGGGATCCCGTTTGCGTTCCGGTTCTCGCGAAATCCTATGAAGGCAGTCCCCGCGTTTCTCGGTGGCATTCACACACGCCGCCGACGCGCTTAGAGTCAAGGATACAGGCGTTATCTTGCCCGTGATTGCTATAGTTAACAGCGGGACATACACCGCCGGTCGAACGCGTTCCGCGATGGTTCCCGTTCACGTTCAAACGCGCACGGCCGCTGCGCGATCGCCTCCGTTGCCTGGCTTCGTTATGCAAGCGAGGAATGTTAAGTCGTCGCGGTTCCATCGGAAGATTATGCTCCGACGCTTTTATCTTATGCAATGGAGCCGCAATCCTCCGGGCGAGCCCCGTTGCTTTAGATCTCTCGCTGTTGTCCCTTGAAAATCGAGGAAAGGTCTGATCCGTGACGATGTCTACCGACTCGGAAGACGCGTCCTGCTCCGGGCGAACCGCTTCGGCGATAAGACGGATCGACCTCTCTGTCAAATTAAAGATTTGCGGAGTTCTAGGTCTTTAAAAGGAATTGTCTTGCGTTTTATGATCGGTTCTTTTGATTTTGTTGCATTGTAGTCTGGCATTGTTTTTAGAGTATTGAAGGGTTAATGGTACTATGTCGAGCAGGCAGTAATGGTACGCTTGAGGTAGGTTAGTACGTGTAGGGAGTATTGGATAGGATTGATGTACTGATATAAACTGGCGTGATCAAATTGTTGACTGACACGAGTACAGGAATAAACAAAATCTTGTTTTACAAAATTGTAGTATTAATTTTAGATATATGTAAATGCAAAATTTTGGCAGTGTTTGTACCAGACGGTGAACAGGTTTTAGCTTAATATAGGGTGATAAAGAAAAGGGACTTAAGACTTGAAGAACTTGCGGTACTTAATCGGTGAAGTAAAAAGTACTTAATCGACGCAGGTACTAAAATCAATCCTAATATATGATTCAAAATTTCGCAATGAAATATTTTGCACGGAATTTTAGTTTGTTTCACATTTTACGCGCAGCTTAGCACCGAACCTTCGACGGGGATAAATTATTCGCAATCGATATTCTTTCCACGCATTCCGCGAAACTTCGGGTATTTTGTGCCTTGTATGTACTTTCCCCCACGTGTACAGAAGGAATATAAATCATTGTATTAAGTTCACGCGTGACCACGATGTCCATTAACTGTTTCAGTCAATTTAGAAATTAATTTCGTAGTCACCACGAACACAACTTCTTCATACGAATCTCTGTCACACAAAACATTCAGCGTTGGAGAAATATTTCTTCGCTAAACGAATATAACACAATGATGATGTTTCTGTCTGGAACACTGAAGAAGGAATTAAAGATCAAAGTTATCACTAAAAAATGATTATTAACGTAATACCGATAAATCCAATTCCACGGAAGAATATAATCTCCTCATCGATCGGTACAACTTACGATGACATCAAAACGTAAATTGAAATGTATGATATTTATATTCCTATATATTATTCCTTTGGGTTTACCCTTTCGTGCCGAATGGTACACAAATTACCGAAAAGCTAGAAACACCTTATACATAAAGGAAAAGTGCTAATTATTATTAGTGCTTATCTTATTTCTTGAAAAGCTTTAATTTCACTTGAAAGTAGCTGTTCTTGGCTCTCTCTTTGATTTAGGGGAAAAATATATATTTAGGGTCGGAACGATTAAATGGCAGATGATAAACATTTTAATAAACCTACATGCATCGGAGTCGGCTTCAGAGAATTTCGTTTCCTTATTACTTTCGAATCCCCCGAGGAACCTATCACTCATTTGAATCGGAGCAGCGGGGACCGAGACCGCACTGTAATTATCAAAAGCAATCGGGCGAATTATTAATGAGCCGGCCGGTCGTGAAATCATTCGAAGTACTATGTCGTGGGATAATTAATCGCGCGTAAATCGGTGATTAATCTTTGAAATTCCTGCAACGTTGTCCGCGTGCATTGTCGTTGCGTCTCGCGGTCGCTAATTAAGCGCGCGGCTCGCGTGCGATTATGCGGCGGATGTCGACGCTCGCGCGACTCCCGACACGTGTGCACATTCGTCTTGCGCCGTTTCCATCCTTGAGACTGTCTTGGATTCCAGCGATTTTTCTACGGTTTCCGATACAGTAATTCCGGCTTTCGATTGTTCGACTATTCGACTCCAGGATACGGCGAATTTTGCGTTAGGAATTCGAATGAACCGACAAGGATATCGCCGACAGGAACACGGTCCTTCAGCCGAAACGTGTACGGAACGATCGAAACGTCCCGCAAGGAATTTTAAACAAATCGGTGAAATTTCGCCGAAATCGAGAGGACGATTTCTTAGACACGATTTCTTAGACACGGTTTCTGGGGTATAGAATTCTGCCGTTTGGATCCGGCGTCAAGGAAATTTGAAGTATTCGAGACATGTTTTGTGTCTGGTGAATTTTAGTAGGTACTACTTTCTACTGAAGTTTCTTCCTTATGTTTTTTCTTTGTTAGATAATTTTAATTCGAGACTGAAATCCTTAAAAAATTTTAAATACGTTGACAGATATTGAAAAATGAGAATTTGCGAGATAGGATAGTATACATCTTGAAACATCATGCGATTACTAAATATTCGAATTAGAAGCTTGAAATTGTAGTTTTGCTAAATATAAATTTTTATCAAGAATGCAACAGCGATGCAAGATACAAGTTCGGTTTAATT